CATCTATTGTTTTGTTTATAAAAACACGCAGGCAGAACTGACTGGCAGCACAAACGAGTTTAAATTTGAGCAGCAGCAGTGCGGGAGTGTGGTCGTTTAAGAACACATTGTTCGTGCAGGTTTCCCGCGTGTTTGTTTCACAGAACATGAAGTTAACTTAGATAAATGAAGGAGAAGCCAAGGTTTAAGATGAGGGCGGACTGTGTGAGGTCCTTTCCATAAACCCGAAATCTTTGCGTATCATTTTTGGCGCGTGCCACAGACGAACACGTCACATCAGATGTTAATGAATTTACTTTGCCATGTGCGTAATTACGCGCATCCTTCTTGTTTTTGGGTTGCAGACTGTGGGAGGCTGCGGCCACTTATTAATGTCAGTGTTGTATATTTTATGATTCAGACATGGATATAACACACTATCAGAGTTATCAGATGGTGGCGCATGTTAGGAGCTGAAACTCACTCACTAATGCTTTCATCCATACCCTCAAATGAAAGCTGAGCTGAAATATATTTCAGTAAACAAGTAAGAAAACAAAACTTGTGTCAGTGTTCAAATCTGCATGGACCCAACTGCAGTTCCAGTTAAACACTCGTTCTGACAACATTTCCCCCTCATTCAAAACAAATCCACGCTCAAGTCTCGTGCTCCTTGGACAAAGACAGCTGTCTGTTTTTAACAACTTCAGATATCACAGAAGATAAAAAACAAACAGATTTTTTTGTTTGTTTCCATCTTCAGTCAGGAATCGTCTGCCAGTCTCACCCTCCACTCTGAGCTCACTTGTGAACAAGCCTGAGATACTTCAAATCCACCTCCTGGGGTAATAAGTTGTCGCTGTGCCAAAAAGTGATTTCTGATGTTTATATGTGTTTTTTTTATGTGGAATTGGTAAATAGACTGTAGTCAACAGGATTTACAAAGGGGTTATATATAAAAATAAAGAGATGTCTCTCTAATATTTTTAATATTTTACCTAAATTATAACCAACCATTTTATAGAACTATTATGTTATTTTTGTTCCATTTCTCCTGCCCTCTTGGCTAAATCTCTCTTAAAAACAATTTTAATGCCAATAATCTTTTTAAGTGGATAAAAATGGGATATATGAAAGTCACTACCGAAAAACTGGTTGCAGCTTCTACCTTGTGACAGGAATGTTGTTTGTGGCTGAAGATGACTTGATATCATTCATGAGAGACACATTTGACAGATGTTTCACATTTTAAAGACCAACTAGTCATTTATCTAATCGTAATCTTATTTCATCTTTAAAATTCAAATAAAATCTTTCACTTTTTGGCAAATACCCAAAACCACTTATCAGTTTCTGGCACAACACCGGCCACAACACCGGCTTCCAAACCGGCAGAATATCTTTCAAAAAAGGCGAAAAATAACAAAAGCAAAATAAACAAAACAACCTGAAATGAATCATCTTGTAATGCTGTCGCGTTCAAATAATACAATGATGCCAGAATGTCACTCAGCTGTCTTC